ACACCCCCAAAACAAAATCAAGACTTTGTAAAAGAGCATAATAGGACCCCTTTAACTGTCATATTTGAAAGTGTTAAAACTGAGTAATAAATGTCGGGTTGTCATGTTTAATAGCAAAATAAACATAATTTGGTTATATTACGTGTGTGTGTATTTTATCCTATTAAGCCATAATCATGATAATTATAGTCAATAAAAATGCTGCAACCTCAACTCATTTTCACCAAGTTTTTTTATTTAAACTTGCACAAGTGACTGAAGGGTAAATTTCCTTCTCCATATCCTGTGAAGATGTATCGATGTTCTGTTATTCCCTATGCTGTCTGCAGTGCCCTTTGAACTGAACATACGTTTCCTTCAGACTGGAATGGCACTTAATATGGCAGAATTCCCTGTGAAGTCCACTTTGCAGGGCACTTTTGGTCAACTGGAAAGCACCTAGTAATTTTTTTTTTGTTTGTTTCACTGCCTCATCTTCATCACAATGTCTTTATGTACTTAATACTCTACAATTCCTATTCCTGATAAGTATTCATCACATGTGAGTGTACCTCATTTTAAACCTATATTTTCAAAATGATTATTTCTTCATGTAAAAATGTTTACAGTAGGACAAAAATAACTGAGCAGTGGGGGTACTACACACAGTTATAGTGTCTGACTAACCATGGTGAGAACAAAACATTGTGTTAGACCCAAACAAGTGGTCTGCTCACCCCATTGACAGAGACGTATGCACGATCATGGATGCCATTGAGGGGCGAGATGAGAGGCGTCGGCTCGGGAACATTCCGTGGCAGTGTCGTTCGGTAAAGCATGAAGCCATAGTACTGCACACAGTTGACATAACACAAGCTCAGACCAGCTTTTACACTTAACCAAGACCAACCTCCAAAGCCCAAACCATATATCCACATCTACAGCCATTTATGAGGAAATACAACATTGGCCTTTATTGGCTGGCTAAACACGACAGAAAACATGAATTAGCTATAATCACATTCATAACGTTTATGGACCGTATTAAGTTCTTTTAAATATACCTGTTTAATCTCTTCAAATGTCAAAGGATATTGAGATCGTACTGGACCTTGGGGTGACAGCGTATCCAACAAGCTGCTAATGTTGCCAACCTATGAAAGAAAATAGGAACAGAGTAAGAAGGGTTGTATGGCCAAGAAATCTTGCAAATGAATAAGGTTTTGCACACCTTCTGAAGTGTAACAAAGCCATAAGCGAACTTTGGGGTGGCTGGTGGCATGGGACCAACTGGAATGTCTCGAAACTGAAAACAAACACTTATTATTAATACAATAGTATGGATGTCCGTTTTGTTATTCAGTAGATGCTGGTTACAAATACTAGCTGGTCACCTAGCAGTTGAGCATTATGAACAAAACTATATATAAAAAATAAATAAAAAATTCTAACACTTTCTTTTGAGTCCACTAACTATAAGCAACTTTGCAGTTACATGTCAACTACCAGGCTTTAGAGTAATAGTAGACAGTCTGCTTAGTATCTGCTAACACTTAATTTTGATGGTCCCTTTTTGATACTACTCACTATAAGTATCTTTGCAAGGACATGTCAACTAACCCTAACCTGACTAATACTCTAATAAGAGTTGACATTTACTGTCGTTGCAAATTCAAGTTAGTTGACATGTAGTTACATAGTTACTTATAGTTAGTAGAATGTCTAAAGTGGACTATCGAAATCGAGTAAATAGTAATGTTATTTTTAATGTCCAGCAAAAACTGCTTCATCATTTTTTCCTGCATCTGAATAACATACAAGAGTCCTTTCTACTGTCACAAAGTAATACACCACCATTCAGAGATTTAAATAAGACTTGTTTCAGAAGAAATT